TTCAAAATATGGCACGAAAACGTCATGTATTTTATCAACTGATGGATATATATTACGTTGAGAACACCACGAATATAATTCTTCAATGAATTTTATACGACAACAATTTTGTTGATGTTTATATTCAACAGCACTTTTGATTTTTGAATCAATGAAAAGATCTGGATGTAATACTTTCATTACCTTTTTAATTTGTACAGCTGTTAATCCATTATCTGTCATTTGACGTATATCGTCACGAATAGGTGATAATAAACGATTACTATCAGCGCGTTGTTGATGATTATGACATGATGAGGAATATAATTGGTATGTTCCATCTACATGTTGTTTAACTGATATGAACATGCAGGAAATTTTTTATATTCTGAACATTTGTCTGTTATTGATAGATAATTCTTGCATGGTTCAGTACGATATGTACAAACATTATGTTGCTTAATTAATGTTGAAAGATAATACCTGATGAAATCTCTTGCCAAGTTCGACGAGACATAGCAGTAAACAATAGAAAAAATAATGCTTTGATTTTTATATGATTCTTTTACGACGATATGTAATTTTTAATAAATGAGCCAATAATGTGGTGCTCAAAAAACAAACGATTTTGCCTTTTATTCTTCCACTAACACAACAATACGTTTGTTTTTAATAGCATCAGCAGCTGGGATTATTTTTAGTTGTTCTTAATTGGCACAAATGATCGTATTAAACAATTTTCTTAATTGATGATTAATTAAGGCAAACATGATCATCAATTAAGAAATATTATATAAGATAAAATATCATCAATTAAGCATAGTGTTGTGTTAGTTATACGCTTGTGTGCAAAAAGCAACCGAGATCTCTTCCATGTTTTCCATCCAATTAATCGAATTGAGATTTATTACATATTTTTTCCGAGATCCATTCTATAATTTTGAAATGAAACAATTTATTTTTAAAAATCGAGATCTTTTCCATGTTTTTTTATACAACTAAGTCAATCGAGATCTAATCCGCGATATTTCCGAGATCTTTTCTCGTTTTGTCCTAAGAGAAATTATTGTTTTTATGTTTAAAGAATAAATGAGAATGGGACTTTTCTAATTATTGTAATTTTAGTTCGCGAAGTTGGAACAATACGAAATAAATTTATTGTGTGCATTCTCCTTCGTGTAAAAGAAAAGATTCAGTCCCGTTTCGTCGACAAATTCATATATGCAATAAAATATAATTCGTAGTTATACGCATTTATTTCTAATCAAGAACAGAAATTAAGCAATTTCGACGCAATTATAAGTAGGCGTATGTTTAAACCAATGCGAGATGTATAATAATACATTTAATTTTCTGAATCTGATTACAAGAGAAAATTATTGAGTATTATTATTACTACAATGTATTCAATTGTCGAAACAGCGAGAGGTAAGACTTGTTTGTGACAGTGTGGCAGAGAGAACGGCAAGAATCTTGAAATGCTCCCTAATAGAAGAATAACGATCGATCGGAATTTTAATGTACATAAGGTGCAAGCAGAGCAATCTGCCTAATGGGGATCCTGAACATTTTCGTTTAGACAGTCGATAAACGAAATCTAAAACATGTACAATGGAACAGATCTGGACAAATATTTCTGCGCACTTTTGGTTCAACATCAAAAAAAGCTACAAGCGAAATACATATTAATAATCTACAACAAATAGCCACAGAAGATAACTGTTTCTTACATCGCATCGTATTAACAATTATATCAGACAACGGTCCTCACTGGAAAACAGATTGCATGGCAAACATATACAATTTCGGAAGATTTTGGGAAGAAAATAAGTTAGACGCATTAATCTGGGTTAGTTACGCACCAAGTAACAGAAGATTTAATCCAATTGAAATGTTAAATGTTTTCACATTTAACAGATTTAATAGCGAATGTAACAGTTGATCTTGATCCAACATTTTCAACCATTAATCATCAATTAGATTCAACATTGGTTAATTTAAATAAATATTGGCATAATAAAAGATATGATAAATTTAAAATTGATTGTAGACCGGTGTTTTCTGTTAATGGAAATTCATTTGATGGTCATCAAGAACTAAAAGGTAAATTAATGAAAAGTTCTATTAAACATGTAATGAGTCAGGAGAATGATAATGTGCGATTTAATCTTCGATTATACCTTCGCCATTGTGTTAAATCATCATATTATGTATAATTCATCAAATGCAGAGATTCAACATGCATTCATTATGCACGGCATCCCGTGAGAGCATCAAAAACAGTTCAACATCTCTGATCAACTGGAGATTATTTACCATGGCCACAAATGACATTTAGCAAATCCCATTATGACACATTCAATACTTGCTGGTGAAAAAAATGTTGTACCAGACCAGCAATTACCATCAGGACCAACGAACCGATGTTTAAAATGTAAATTACCATATATATTTTCGTCCAAACCTGATGAAGACCGTCATGTGCTGCGGGTACATCGATCAGACGTATTATCAAATAAAAAACGAAAACATTCATCGTCTTCGAAATCAAAGTGTGACTCAAAACAACGAAATACTAGAAAACGTGAGCTTTCTCCTGAATAGTAGCGAGAAGTTACGTAACATTCTAATGATAGTGTTTCTCAACCTTTTAAAGCATGTGTATGCAAATAAAATAAAGACTAATATATATATATCGGTAATTTGCGTTATTCAAGACTATTCATAAAAAAACATGATGCAATTGCATTTAAAGCGAGAAAAATTTTGTTATATATGAGCATCCAAATAGTTTGGCACTAGAATGTATATATTACGTACATTTTTGATTTAGATGTGCAGTTGATAGCTTGATAGATGAATAATACTTTCAAAGAGAGCGATCAATTATCTTTGAAGCAATAAAATCAAAAAAAGAGGTTGGTATAAACTTTATTTATTTAGAAGAAATGTTGAAAAAATCAGTAGAATTTATGGGAAGAAGGAGGCGAACCCATTACATCTTAACATAAATTGACTGTGGGAGGACAGAGAAAAAGAGGTTCAACTTTGTACGAAAAAAGTAGCACAAAATAACATGTCCACAAATTTCCACACGTTACCTAACACTATCAGGCACATTAGGTAAGGAAGACAAATCAAGAGAGGTGCGTCTTGCTCAACCGGTTTTTGAAACACTCATATTCTCATTTCCTAATAAAATATTTTTAATCGATATATGTCCAAGTATCATTATCTAGGTAATGCAACGCCCAGCAGATAACGATATGTTATTGTACATGTTGTTATATGGGGAATAAAGAATGAGATTAAGGGTGCCCTCCCTTCCTCTTTTTTTGCTCTGTCGGAAACTAGGGAAGCCGATGTCGGATTGGATTCTAATTTATATTAGAGATAGAACATCGAAAAAGAAAATCGAGGTATTTTTGCCCAGAATTTTCTGACGTGTTCCTCTATGGGTTTTCCGGAAAACTCCAGTTTCCATTGGCACACATTATGACCCCTCGAAAAAATGGTCCGATCGTGCTCAAAATTTGACTACAGATACTTCAGACCCTATCTCAGGTTCGTTTTTTTCTTTTCGAAAAAAATGCTTTCCTTCTGGAGGTATACGAAAAATACTGAAAAAGCCATATAAAAAAACAATTTTTCATTTTGAAAACGTTCTCACGCCGAAAATTGAAGTCGAAAACGCTTTTAAAAAAACGAACCTGAGATACGGTCTGAAGTATTTGTGGTAAAATTTTGAGCTCGATCGGACCGTGTTTTCGAGGGGTCATAATGCGTGCCAATTGAAGGGACTATTGAAAAAACGTATAGTGAGAAATACACATATGCTACACAGGGCTCTGTTTTTCAGGGCATTTGCGGTTATATCTCTAAGATATGCTTATATTTCTAAGAAAACCCATCGGAAAATTCTGGAATACACCTCATTCCATCAGAGCACACTTTCTTCTATCATGCTATATATAAGAAAAAATTTTGAATATATAGGAAAGGAGAGAAAAATTTATGAACCTAAAAAGTTGAGATTTTCTAGGCTTTGAACGTAAAACTTACTTTTTAAGTAAATTTAATTGAAAGTAAATTTCGATTCTTTTATGATTCTTGTCAATTTTCAACTTCAAATTCAGAACTATTCTTGTCAGTTTTCAACTGCAAAGTAACATCTCCTATCCCCTTCTTCTTCTCTCTCTCACATTTATAGAGAGAGATTTCTTCTGATTAATCTTTAAATTCAAACTACTTCTTCTTCTTCTCTCATATACAGAGGAGGAGGAGCTTTAGTATTATATTTTAGTAATTAATATAAATTAAATTTTACATTTAATTTATATTTAATATTTCTATAATTTAGTATTTGCGTTTGCAATACTTATTTTCATTTCTCCTTCTTTACATCAGACCACGATTTCCACCACATTCTTCTCAAAACAACAAAGAAGAATTTTATCTATTTTATTTATTGATTAATTGAACATTGTAATTCATATCATTGTAATTTTG